GATTGTATTCCAGCTAGCATACAAAATGTGTGGAAGTGACGATATGTGTGTTAAACGTCTTAAAGTAATCCGATATCACTCTCCACGGCGTCTTATCCTGCTGTCTTAAAAACTACACATATCATTCACAAAATTAAGACATGACCTGCAACAAATGTTGAAAATTATCTGCCCATAAAAGTGACTTCAATGGTATCTAGAGAGATGTAAAAGTAGTTGATGTTGTGGTAGTTAAACATTTACTTACCAATAATTTCATCTAGACCTCCCAGAGTGTTTTTGAGGTTCAGGCCATGCGATAAATATTTAGTAGACTACCTGGATGATATGACTCTAAAATGAAACAACGGGCTTCTTGTATCAGCTCAATTCTTAGAATTTAATAAAGCTCTAGATAAGGTTACACACAAAAGGCTTCTCGTCAAATAAAGTCCCTTGGAATCAATAACCCACTATACTGGTGGTTTTCTTTGTTTCTAACAAAACGTGAATGCGTGGTAAGGTACAACAATTCTCCCTTATTACCGAGACCAATAACTAGTGGAGTTATCCAGGGACGTTTATTAGGTTCAATCTTGTTTCTCATGTATATAACCGACATGTAAAATGATAAAATTTGGTAGACAATACCTATACGATGATGATCCCAAAGTAGTATACGGCTATAAGCATAGAGCTTTAAGTAGTGATATATCCCACATTCTAGGTGACCTCAATATCCTATCTATTTGAAGCGAACAACGACAGTTGCCATCTAACCACAACAGTTGTGGGTTCATGCATTTTGGGAAACATCCCCATCAACTATCGTTTTGCTTAGATAAATGTAGAATTCAGACACTCGAATCAGTACAAGATCTGAGTATCGATTATACATGAAGCCTGAAACTTCAAGAACATGCCTCCTCTATTCTGTCTAAATCTAGACGTCTAATGGATTCAATATTGCGGACTTTCTTCACAAATGAGGATACGCTTACCCTTTTTATAATACATACACGACTCTCCATTGACAACTGTTCACTTATCTCCACAAACATGAATATCACAGTGTAGGGTCACTGAATATTGAACTGATCATTGATCCCTGTCAAGGTCAAGGGTAGTCAACGCACACAAACCAATCGTACGCCATAGACTGGCCCACGCTGCAGTGGTTATTCTTTCACTTCTGTACTTCCGTAGTTGTACCTTAACTAATATATTCTTGTAATAACGTCCTTTGTGTTGTACAGTCTCCATAGCATCTATTATCCTTTGATGCGTCGATGGTTCAATCCACGTAAGGGCTGGTCGCGAGGTGTGACTTCAGCGTTAGTTGGTTCGTCCCCATTCTCGTTTAACTCTAGTAGGCCCCCAATCATTTTGACATAGATCATCAACGAAGACGATCTTACACTAGTGAGCAAGACTTCGAATAACGCAACCTATCATTATAATTTTTTCTATTGCATTCTGTACTTATTATTTTTCATTTTTAACTTCGGCTATCTTTATCAGTTTCTGTGAACATTCGTTGCTTCATATCAATGTTGATTAGTATGTCAACTGAAATAATTAGTTCAATCGATAGAACTAACCAATCAACTACGACTATAATCGACTATCGTGGTTCTTTAACAAGCATTAGCAGCATGTAAATGCTCCTGTGTAATATGTCTGTTAAAATATCAACCACTCGTAAGTATGGCCTCAAGGCAACACGTACGCATATCTGTTTGCAACTTATCCACTTGTATAACCAATACAGGATAAACTGCCGATTATTAAATTCACCTTTCTGCTTATTCACTGTCAACTAACTACTATCAAAAACTATCTACTAGAATATTTTACTTTCTTGACCACTGCATGCCTAATTTCCAATTGCTGAGTTCCATGGCGAATCAGAGGATACAAATGCTAGAAATTTACGGTGAGTTTGAACTATAAATTTCCTGCAATGTTAGATCTTGTTTAGACTTCGTCAGGCAATTCTACGTTTTCGACCTAAATTAGACTTATTCCAATTCAGTCTACAACGCTTCGTCAATCTACGAAGTTAATCAACAAATTTCAATTACTTTGGAGCAAGAGTAACCCAGGCGAGTTTCATAACTGTTAAATAATTTCGTATAATGTTTATGATGTCTAATAACATTTAGCGGCTACTTTCACTTAGAGTAGTCATACATTCTGTCCCTGCCATCAAATTTTAGTCGAAACTACTTACATTTATGACTCGTAAGTTAACATACTCCGAAAAAACGTATTTCATGTACACGAGCAATCTTAGTCCATGTCTTAATGAGACACTTCGTCGTACTTGGTGTCACTTAGAGCTAGATAATATGCTTTTTTTACGAAACGAACACGTTATCTAAACCTAAACTTAAGTTACATTGGTGGTTACCATTTAAATTAATGTTTACTATGCGCTTTGTATTTGCTGTTATCTCAAACGGTAAATCATGGCTCCATTTCCTTATTGTACGAAAGTCACTTCAATTCCGTCTTCGGCTAATTCACATGCAATACGGGTTTGGAAAATATCTAAACGTCTTCTGAAATTCTCCACAAACCCCACGATAGTCTTCGTATATGTTGCTACCGCACATCCAATTGCTACATAAACAATGCCCAAAAGAACGTTCAGTACAATTGTCAGTATACGAAATGATGTTACTTCGATGTGACATTACAACACATCCGAACTATTGTAGTTATTCAACTTCGACGTCGTATTTTTATCTTATGAAGTATTGTTTCCGCGTGGCTGTTATCTAACAGATGATTTCGGTACATCAATCGGCTGTTCAACTACTCGACGATCTAAAGCCTGTCCAGTTCAATTGGTGGTTTGACGACACTCATTCACGCGAATCATCGGTTTAGACAGTCGAGCGCATCTCCTGCAAACTGACAACGATATTGTCGTTTCGACCCCAACACTGACAGCATTTTTCACCGATATCATTGACATGAGTCCAGAGTGACACTCTTGGTTTCTCACGTTTTTTTCGACATTTTTCGGTTCACTCATCCAACACATGTGCAGCACCCACCGTTTATCATCTTTCAGAGATTTCATCGTGCCACCTTTCGCTCTCGATCTGTATTTCTTCGACCCTTATTGATTTTCACAGCAGTTATCAGTTTTTCCAAACTGGCTGCAAGTTGATCAGAAGCTTCGCACAAGGAAACCACGGCATCGATTGATAATACACTTATCGTACTATCACTGTGACATCACTATTTTTGCAGCGGACTCAACGTTTAGCATCTGAGGACCTCAATCACTTTTCAAAGCTAATTATTTCAACGCGACTTGATAAAACTCTAAAATGTCATGTTTCTTTTTCTATTATTTCTATGGTTGATCGCTTAACATTCAACCAACGTCCTTGTTACCTGTTATTACTCGTTGTTTCCCGATCAGTTTCTGCAGCCTCCTTTCGATTTCTTTTACAGCTCGGCAATACCCGGAGGATTCATAATAATCGTCTGGCAACCTCCGGCGCGCGACTACTCCCAACATTTTTGGCATCGATTCAAACGGCCGTTGAATATGGTGAGGGAGTATTGTAGGGTCACTGAATACTGAACTGATCATTGATCCCTGTCAAGGTCAAGGGTAGTCAACGCACACAAACCAATCGTACGCCATAGACTGGCCCACGCTGCAGTGGTTATTCTTTCACTTCTGTACTTCCGTAGTTGTACCTTAACTAATATATTCTTGTAATAACGTCCTTTGTGTTGTACAGTCTCCATAGCATCTATTATCCTTTGATGCGTCGATGGTTCAATCCACGTAAGGGCTGGTCGCGAGGTGTGACTTCAGCGTTAGTTGGTTCGTCCCCATTCTCGTTTAACTCTAGTAGGCCCGCAATCATTTCGGCATGGAACATCAACGTAGATGGTCTACAACAGACAAGCTACCAGTTAATTTCGAAAGACGCTTCATATGTGAGCTGCTAGGATACGACTACACTCTCGACCACACAGCTAAATGTGAACACTTCTCCTTAGGACCTTTATAAGGCCATTGACCATGGAACGATATGATATTTTTCTACAAAGTAATATATGGTCTCTCACCTGTAAGCTCCTGCTCAATTACGATCCACGACCCTACCTACAGATGCAGAAGCAACGCATATACACTACTAACTGCAAAACTCCAAAAAGTTTTTACATTGCGGTGTAGTTTATAGTGGAACAGGCTGCCAATACCTATCCATAACTGTACCTTTATCACCAAGTTTAAAGACTAATAACCCTGTTTTTCGGTGGGCTGTCTAACACCTAGACAGATCATGAATACATCGAACTCCCAATGTTGTTCATATACATAACCAAGTGATAAAACGCAAGGTCTCGCTCCTCTCATCATAATAAGTCATGCCCTTATGCCCTCACCCCTGACATTCCGCAACAAAAGCAACCAACAGAGGGTGAATTAAGGCTATATCAAGGCAATACGCACAGTATGCACACATGCCAATAAGAGACTGACCAATTGCAGTCATAAACATCAATGGGAAGAATCAGACAAACAATACCAAGTGAATTCAATCAGTTTATGTTGTTACAATATTAATAGCTTCAGACCACTCTACATCAGAGGCGATAAAACAATCCGAACTAATTTTAGCAGAAACATATACGGTATTAACACATTTCCTGAACCCTTTTGAGCAGCCTATCCTATGTTAGTTGTTGGTTCACTTAGTGTTTGCCTTATACATATTTTCAACCGTCCAAATTGAGAAATACAAACACAACAGGTAACACTGTGTTAAAGTGATATCGTTACCCTCTCTCCGAACCGGTTAAATTCACGTTTCAACAAACTATTGTCACAAACGTTGTCATATATAGTACATAAATCAGGTCATCAAAGTACTAGACATATCCATAATCACCAAAGAATGAACAGCTTAAATAAACTTAAACCTTAAGATAAATACTTTCAAAATTCAGAATATGCGGTTAATTAGCTTGGACGTTTGTGGTGAATGTCTATATTAATTGAACGGCTCCAGAAAGATTTGTTTGACATATTGTATGAGTAATTAATTATAAATAGTTTTTCTGTGGTAATTTCAAAAATAGTAGCGGTTGCGACTGTGGCAACGCTGATTGCTACCTGTTGCATTTCATAGTAAGAGTAAGTTCACTGTAACCCCTTGCTGGGTCATCAACTCACCTCTTGATCTTGTTTTTTACAGTCCTCCTCACTCACTCTACTTTTCATGCTTCCTTAGTACGCAAAGTACTTCCTGGATACACTCAAGTCGCCACATAACTTTGCTTTATCTTTTTGTCCATGGTCATTAACCACGTGTTGTTTGTAACGGATCTAAAATTTCAAGTAAAACTAGACACAAATAGTTTCGTAGAATCTATGAATTTTGCATCAAAATAGTCCTGTATGAATTCCACAAATACTCACCTGTTAGATTTTTGGGGAGCTATTTAATCTTTTTGGGTTGTCCTTTCTCCTAAGACTTTCGGTTTTGGTGTGTATAGTTTGTTCCTATGAGCTATGTATGTGGAAAATCCTTGGTGGTGATGTTATTAGATTTAATGCGCTTAAAGGAGCTTTGTATTTGACTAGTCAGTCTTCAGTAATAAGGATAGTAGGTTGATGAACCTGTGTTAATCCTGACAGATTTCCTTCCAGTGAAGGTCCAGCTTCTTTTTGAAAATGTTCACTGATGGTGCTGATACCACTTGTTCTGGTAAAGCGTTCCAGTCATTGACCACTCGATGAGAAAAACGGGACCCCACCTTTAGTTTATTAGATCGCGGTTTCAGAACCTTCTTGCTATGACCCCGGAGATTATTAGTGCTGGAGGGAGCAAAAAGGTAAGACATATTAACACCCAGATCATAATTAAAGATACGAAATGCCAGTATAAGGTCACCTCGCGTCCTACGATAAGATAAGGGGAAAAGATTTAGACGTTTTAAACGCTCATCGTAAGGGAGTTTGGAAAGACCCTCTACTAATTTTGTCCCTACACGCTGGACACGCTCAAGCGATTTAGTATCCTTTATCAGACAAGGGCTAGCTGCTTGGATACAGTATTCTAAGTGTGGCCTTACATAGGTGGGATATAAAATTCGAAACATATCCTCGTCAAAGCATTTAAATGCTCTGCGAAGCGACCATAGCGCTTGATAGCCTTTGGAAGCAACCGCATTGTAGTGCGTAGTAGTTTTTAAGTCGTGACTTATAATTACTCCTAAGTCTTTATGCGCATGAACGCGTGGCAGAGATGTACCATTAATGGTATAGTGGTAACTAATATCGTGCCCGATGTGCATGAACACGCTCTTCCTGGAATTAACTTCCAGGCCCCAATCATGAGCCCACCTAACTAATTCGTCTAAATCTGCTTGTAGATAACAACGATCAGTCTCATTTCTTATTGTTCTCCAGATTTTAACATCATCCGCAAACAATAACGTCGACGACTTAAGTAATAAAGGTAGTTCATTAATATACAGAAGGAAAAGTAAAGGGCCCTAGATGGTGCCTTGGGGTACACCACTTCTGACCGGTTCCCATTCGGATAGAGTTCCATTGACTCTCACTCTCTGTCTGCGGTCACATAAGAAGCTTCCTATCCATTCCTGTAAAGCACCTGTTATTCCAAAGCTCGAGAGCTTTTGCATAAGACCTAAGTGTGAAACCTTATCAAACGCTTTGCTAAAATCTATAAATATCACGTCGACAGACTGGCCGTTGTCTAGGGCAGCTGTCCAATCCTCTCTCGCAATGAGTAAGTTAGTCAAGCATGAATGCTTGTTACGAAACCCATGTTGCTCGGGAGTTAACAGATTGTACGAATCTATGTGGCTCAGTAGCTTAGCCCGAATTAATTTTTCAAGTAACTTAACTACTATACTGGTCAGGCTAACAGGCCGGTAGTTAGATACTATCCGTCTCTGACCATCCTTAAATATAGGACTAACTATGGCGTCTTTCCAGTCTCTAGGTAGTTGAGCCTGTGAAAGGGACATGTTGAAGAGCATCGTGAGCGGTCTTGAGATAATGTCCGCAAGCGACGACAGCAAACGTGGTTGTAACCCATCGGGACCCGGTATCTTACAAGGTTTTAGGTTAGTTATCAAAGGAAGAACTATATCCTCTGTCACGTGCAAAGGTCCTATGGCTGGTATCTCATTGTCAACGGGACAAGTAGTTGTAACACTACACGTAGAGTAGACTTCACTGAAATAGTTAGCAAATAACTCCGCTTTCGCTAGGTCAGATTCAGCCAATAAAGCTGAATTTTCGCTTAACAGTAATGAGGGGATACCATCACTACGTTTCATCCGCCTTTTAACGTACGAAAACAGTCGCTTCGGACAGGTACGGCTATCGTATGCCAACTATCGTTCGTAAGCCGTGCGGGATTTAGCTATGGTCTTTTTACATATATTCCGGATTTTTTTATATTCGCACTTAAATGATGCCTGACCTGTTGACAAGAATAAGTCCCAGAAGTGTTTCCTACGCTTCAACAGCTTCCGGGTTTCCTTATTAATCCATGGAAGGCAATATGATAACTTACGTGCTGACCATGGGATAAACGGTTGAGTTACGGATTCGAACGTAGACTTAAACCTATTCCATGCATCATCAATCGATCCATCAGCATCGACCGACCAGTCAATTGAGATAGCATAGTCCCTGATTGCCGGAATATTAGCTCTCCAGATATTAGGACGGGGTGGAGCTGATGCAAATTCTATACCATGTATCCGGAACTTAAAGGAAAGTACAACATGGTCACTATTCACCAGTGGGGGAAGATGTTGAATGTCAACGATATCTTCACAGTGGTGTGTGAGGACAAGGTCTATCAATGACGGATTATGTTTCAAGTCTATATGCGTCGGCTTAACGATACATTGTACAAGTGCACATTGAATAATTGATGACAGAAGGACGCTATCGAAACCCCCACCTGGAGCTGTGAGCTCTATCCAGTTTATATGGGGTGCATTGAAGTCTCCAACGATGAGACAACATTCTGCTTTACTCCAAGAACAGATGTGTTTTAGGATAAAGTCGTCAGCGAGACAACACGGACTACGATATATTCCTCCTATCGTCACTAACCCGTTTCTAGACCTAATTGTACAACATACTACCTCACACGTACCACTTACATGCGCCTCCGATATGATCGAGTTAATGCGGAAGTGGTCCCTAATATATAATATTATGCCTCTTCCCTTGCGACTTCTAACTCTATCACTTCTGACACAGATGTAGCCTGAAATGACTGGAGAACAGTCTATATCTACAGTGAGCCAAGTTTCGGTGATAACAATTATATCCGGATTTAAGTCGCTACCATCAAACTTAGTTCAGACATCTTATTCCGAAGACTACGAGCATTCGTATAACACACATTTAGGGTGTTTTTGGAGACATGCGTTCTACCCACACAGGTCTCGGAAGCATTGGCTTCCAAGACCTGACTACCCGAAAACCCTTAATCGTAAGGTTCGCTTCACCGTTTAACCTTCGAGTTTTTAACTCTGTTAGGGCATTCTTCCACTTGATCCGATCCTCAAGTGGCCAGTCAGGTCGAATACGAATGTTTGAGTCACGAGTTTTGCGTGAGTTATTTAGTAATACGTCCCTTTCCTCAAAATTACCGAGTACTAATTTGAGGATCCTTCTCTGTTGGGTTTCGCCTCCAACATACTTACCAAGTCTGATGACTTTCGATATATGTACCCCTGGGACCTCCTCTGGCAGTATATTTCTGATGAGAGATCCGACTAACTTCAGGTCGTGGGTATGTCTCTTAGCGGGATCGGTGTCTTTCGATTCTGCCAAGTTCCAGATGATTACACTAGGCACCTGTTTAACTGCCTTAAAAGTCGTGTTCACGGCCTTTGACCGTGATGTCAGATCCTGCCGGTTAGCTACCGGCTTCTTGCTATTAGCTTTCTTTATCACAGTGTCATGTGGGTCAAGTGAGTTACTCCCAACAACATTTGGTGAAGTTAGACTATTTCCATCCACAACAGTATTAAATATTTCCTTACATTTGGACTTGAGCGGAATTGCCTGATGCTCAGGACGTGAGTCCAACGATGACTTACCGACTATACGCGCGCTTTCTTTGGGTATTTTTCCGTCTCTTTTGCGTTTCCGCGTAATCCATTTGCCACTATTCTCAGCATCCAGATTGGAACTATTCTGGATGATAGTGGTTCTAGCCGGGTCCTCAGTCGCTGCTAAAGCGACTGGTCCCTCAGTACTAAATGGCATGGCTTTCACTGGTTGTACCGGAGTACAAATTTTTGCTTCATGTTGCGAAATTGGGTGTCTGGTACCTGCCATGGCAGCATTTACGACACTGATGCAATCTTCATTATCAGTATCCATGTTGCCGGCACGGCCTACTTCAACCTTTTTAGCTAACGCTAGAAGGCTGATGGCTTCCTGAATGAGTAATGTCTTGCTTGAGCAACAAAACATACAGAGCCAATGAGAATTTGGTTTCGAGCACCTTTTATAGGCAGCAGGGCTTAAGCGGGTGCACATTTTATGAAACCACTTCTTACAATCGTCACACTGCATCCCTTCTTCCACGGGGAATAAGCAATATGGCTGTCCACACTTGTGTACAGAGCCGACCATCTTAGAATAAAGCAAAATGATAGGCAAGGTAGATATGTAAGATAAATCACAACCTTATCAAATAAACAAGCCTCAGTCGACCAAGAATGCTTTGATGCAGTAAATACACAAAAGCAGGATCAAAACACACAAATACAATGTCACGTTAACTGAAATAAATTCAATTAAAGTGTAAACGGTAGTTTTGATACGTAATTTACGATCAAAACAGTGATAAGGTTATATCAATTTATTCCAAATGAGATGCTTGTCAAATAAGTCTAGATCCACGTTTATGTTGTTGTTACCTTTTTAAAGCTCTAAGTAGTCTACTGTCTTTTTCTATCAGGCTTATACCATGTTAGTCATTAGGTTTTGATTGTGTGCATTTACAGAAAACTGGAGGCTGTATAATATCTCACCATTCGCCAAGTAAATTGTCTGTAACACATCTGTGGTACAGTTCCAATGTCTTCGTCACTAACTTGTATTAATCAGTAAATTCCTTTACCCTC